CAATCTGCTAGGAGGTCTTACATTGGTGCGTCTCTGTCTATCTCTGGCTAGATTGTAATTCTGCAGATCATCTGGAATAGAATCACCAGGTGTTGGATTTGAACTTTCACCTCTCTCAGAAGCTATTGGCTGTTGTTCTAAATCCATCTGCACTGCATCTAAACTGAAATTGTTCCCTGACACATTGTCTTGATTCTGCTGTAACATAAACTGCTCATCAAAAACTTCATCTCTACTGATCACCATCTTCTTTGCAATCGGATCCCAAAACTTGTATCCTTTTACATCTTTCTTGTAGCCCAGAAAGATGCACTTCTTGGATTTTGCATCAAGTTGGGATCTTTCATCTCCAGGTACATACACATAAGCAGGACATCCAAAAATCCTTAAATGGTCAAATTTAACTGGATTACCTGTCTATGCCTCTTCCGCGACCTTACCACCCAATAATGCTTGAGGTGATCTATTGATGAGATAGCATGTCATATTCACAGCCTCTGCCCAGAAACTCTTAGGAAGCCCTGCATTCAGTCTCAAGCACCTTGCCCTTTCAGTTAAGGACATGTTCATCATTTCTGCTACATCATTCTATTGTGGTGTCTTCCGCACTAAAAAATGCATCTGAATCACATGCTCCTCATAGAACTTCTGAAACTGCGAATATGTGTACTCTATGTCATTATCAGACCTCAAATACTTGATCTTTCTGTCAGTTTGGTTCTCCACCTCAGTTTTTCATAGCTTGAATTTAGAGAAGACTTCAGAGTTCTGCTTCAAGAAGTACACCCAAATTTTCCTGGAGAAATCATCAATAAAGGTAACGAAATACTGAGATCCTCCCAATGACAACTCCCTAGTAGGGCCCCATACATCAGAATGCACATAGTCAAGAATTCCTTCAGTTTGGTGTTTTCAGTCATAAAACTGACTCTAGTCTGTTTTCCAAGAATACAAAACTTACAAAGATCGAGCTTGCAGCTTTTAACCCCATGCAGCAGATTTCT